CCGCCTCCCCCTCACTGCGCCTGCGCGACGCTTTTCCCGCCTTTTTCCCTCCCCGCCCCCCAGAGGAAAAGCCCGCAGTGCGCTTGCGCCCGTCGTCCTCCCAGCATGCCCCGGGGCGACGGCGTATTTAAGCGCGCGGGCGGGGTGTCCTCGGCCATTTTCTCGTTGTTGCCGTGGGGTTTCGGTGAGTGCGGCCGGTTGCTCCGCGTTGCCCGTGCGGGTTCGGGGCCGCTTTGCCCACGGTGAGGTCTTTCCCGACGCTTCTTTCCGCGTCCTCCGCTGCGGTGCGGAGCCTCTCGCGTCCTCACGGGGCCGCTGGCGGCTGCTCGGGGCCCGCGGCGGCCGTTGGGGCCCTTTGTGCGCGCCCGGGCTCGAGCGGCCTCGTGGGGCTTCGCGTTGGGCCGGGCTGCTCTGGGATGAGTCTCACAGACCTGAGCTGACGGCTGTGTGAAGACCCCGAGTGTCTCTGAGGAGAGCGGCCTGCCCGGCCTCGCTGCGGAGAGGCCGCTTCCATGCATGGCCGCCCAAGGGCCGCATTTATTTTCCATATCTAACACCCTTTTTCTTGCAGGTTATGGAGTTGTGCGTGAGAACCCGTGTTAGAGGTGAGTTGTTTCTGCTTTGGAGGGTATTTGCTGTTTGTTTTGGTGGTAAATACGTGGCCTTACTGTGCTGCAGTGCCCTGGTGCTCTCGGCGCCTGTGGGGCTGGAGTGCTGCAAGGATGAGACCCCTGAACTCTCTCTTTCCGACGGCCGAGTGGGGAAACGCTCCATGGGAAGCTGAGCGGCACCGGAGCGCGGGTGCCCCTCGACCCGGCTCCCGCGTGTCCCGCTCAGCGTCTCCTTGTGTCCCTCCAGGTGCGGAGCCGCTCAGCCCTGCGCCCGTGCGGCTCCTGGGCAGGTGAGCGCCGCCGCGGCCTTTCCCTTGGGGACAGGGGTGGCCTTTGAGGGTGGCATTAGGGCTCTGCCTGCTTTGGATGGAGCGGGGGGGACTTTGCTCAAACTGGGGGTCCGGAACCCTCCGGGCTCCGGCTGCTCCGTGTTGTTCCGTGACGAACCCCCAGACAAGCATATGGCTGAGCGTCCCTGATGCCAGCTTTCCTGCTGCGAACACGGAGCGCGGAGAGGCTCCTCCGGGCACGAGGATCCCCGTTAACACCCGCTGTCTCTTCCAGCGTCCTGCTCCAAGGCTCCGGAATCAGCCCGGGCGTCTCCCTGTGGAGGTGAGCCGAGGGAAAGGGCAGCGTTTCCGCGCTCCTAAGGAGCCGTTTGGGAATGTCGCCGCCTCACGGCTCCCCTCTCCCCTCAGGCTGCCGCCTCCGGAGCCGGCCGCCCTTCCGCAGGTAACGGAGCGGCTCCGGCAGGGGCGGAGGGCCGGGACGGCGCGGTCCGAAGGGATGACACCGCGAGCTGGACGGCGCCGGCCCCATGGCAGAGCCGAGTTACCAAAGCCCTGATCGGACCGGGGGCGGCGCCGCGGCCGGGGGACCCCCCTGCCTGCGCTCACCTCTCCCTCCTTCCTTCCCTGGGCAGCGGCAGCGCTAGGAAACGGTGAGTTCCCGGCTTTTTTAGGGATGAAATTCCCGGCGTGCTCCCCTATGAGGAAAACCTCGCGCGTCTTACTGCCCGTTCGGCACCAGAACCTGCAAAGGTTGAACCCACTGGTGCCGGCGGCCGGAGAGGAGGACGGCTCGTTCTGTGGGAACGGTCTGAGGGGCGCCCCGGCTCCCAGCGGCATTCCCGGGATACGGGCAGCCAGTGACTTCCCTTTATCCCTGCAGGAGCCCGGAGCAGCCTCGGGATTGCTGCCGGCATGGGGGAGCCCAGGCTGAATCCGACTGTCCAGGTGAGTCTCTTGCTTGGAGAGGCAGATTGGGAGCACGAGACGGGATCCGGTTGGATGCAGTGATGAATCCGCTTTGGAATCTCGTTCGGCTGAAGGCTGATGTGGAGGACTCGGATTCTGACGCTCCGCTGGGAAGGGGCTGCTGCTCTCGGAGCAGCCGAGCTCCGGGCTGATCCCGTTCCCGTTTCCCTCCCTGTAGGATGACGGGGGCCTCGGCTGAGGCCCGGAGCGGTGGCAGCGGATGATCCCGGGCGGAGGTGGGTGCTCTGGGCCTGGGCGATTCCCTGGATTGAGCCAATTCCTGCAGTTTTGGTGATGAAGCGAAACTAGCTCACTTTGACTGGCATGAAAACACAGGAACAGCTGAAAAACTGGGATGGGGGCAGCAGGGGGGGGCATGGAGGCTCCGGCAGATCCCACAGCTCCGCTCCTTTCTCCGCAGGCATCGGAGGCGCCGGCAGCGGCAGCTGGTGAGTGCGGATGGGGCCGGATCCGGCTCCGGAGCGGCCGAGGATGAGTCGATACCGCCCCAGTCTGATGCCTGTGACTGAGTGGTTCCCCCTGAGGCCACCTTGGGATTGGGAATGGGGATTGGGAGGTGGGGGCTGAGGTTTCCAAAGGGATCATGAGTTATTTTCCCCCTTCCAGGGTTGTATCCAGCAAGAAAACGGGATCGGAGTGCACTGGGACTGGACTCCTTGCTGCTGCCATTCCGGAATTGCGGAGCAGAGTTGCACCTTGTGCCCAACCCACCTTGTTCTGTGAAGGATTAATTAATAAATAATTAATAAGTGTTTCAAACCAACTGTTCCTGCCTGTTCTGAATCACATTGCAGAGGGGGCACCTTATCTGGGAGAGCAGGGGTGGGAATTTCTACTTTTTGCCTAAATTATCCCAGATTCTGGAAGCAGGGAGGAGGGGGGCAACCTCATGTGTGGGGGCGTGGATGGGAATTTCCACTTTTTGCCTAAATTAACCTGGATTCTGGGAGCGGGGGTGGGAAATAATGCCTCCTCCCAAGGGGGTAGGTGGGACCATTTGAGCCCCGGAACGTTGCAGCGCAGAGCGCGGTCCCTTCCGCGCCCTTTCCCCCCTCCCCTTGCTCCACTTCCGGTCCGTCCGTGGCTCTCAACGCGCCCCTCCGGAAGCCGCCGCAGGAAGCGAGGCGAGCCGGAGTGCCTTGAGGGCAGGACCGGAGCAAGATGGCGCCTCCCATGCGCCATCAGGCGCGAGCAGGAAAGTCCCTCTCCAACGGAATTCCCAGAGGAACAATCCCAGAAAATCCCGCAATTCCATCTGTTTTTGACCATTGAAGATTCCTCCCGGGGGAGGGCACCGTTCCCGGAGGTACTGCAATACCGGGACGATGCGCGGAGCGGAGGGAGCAAGCTCCGGATCCAACTCCCAGGCCCAAAAATCCGTTTAATATAAAGTCCTCTCATCGAGGACGTATCAGATATTAAACTGATAAGAACAGATACTACACTTGATCTTAGCCAAAAGGCCGAGAAGCGATGCCCCGGCGTCTCTTTCGGCTCCGTAGGTGTCTTATTTGCATGTCCGGCCCCTCGATTGCCAACCGCCCCTCCCCTTCGGCAAGGCACCGCTCATTTGCCCTCTTCTGCACTCCTACCCCCTTCATTTGCATATCACCGCCCTCTTTCTCCATCCGCCCCGCCCCTTGCTCTCACAGGAAGCCTTTCCCATCGGCGCTTCCTCGCCCCTCATTTGCATACGCTCCGCCCTCACCCCAGGCAGAGCCGCCCCGGGACGCGGCTCCTCCCGCTGCCGCCTCGGAGCCGGGAGCCA